CACACATGTGCTTTCAGGTTCAGGCGGGGAGAAGTCAGAGCATGAGGACAGCCTTGAGGTCTCTCCAGGAGAGTCATGGACCATAGGATTTATTAGGGATTCAGGTATGAGATGATCATGGCTCTCATCATCGTACTGACCATGGTATTTTGAAGGAATCCAAGACATAGATGATGAGCCTGTCCCTAACCATGGTAGGGCCCTCGGGATTTTGTAGCTATAGAGTGAAAAGATGACAGTAGTCACATCCCTGGTAATTTCAGTGGGATTTCGTAAATATCCAGGTAAGAAATGAGTGTTTTTGCTTAGGAAGGGAACATGGGATGCTGAAGTTATAAAGGTAGGAAATGATGATAAACCTAATTGTGTGGGTGACCATGCTATTTTCTAGATAACCAGATAAGAGAGGATGGTTGCCCTAACTCGAGTATCAAAATTGGATTTCCTCAGGGTAGGCACATAGGAGCTGATGATGTTTCTTCCCATATTAGTGAACATGACATTTTGTGGTATTCCAAATGTGATGGCAAAACCAAACCACAAAATGACCATGAGATTTGTCAGGAGTCTTGTAAACAGATGGTGGTACCCTTAACCGTGAAGGTTATGATGAAATTTTGTAGGTCAGTAATTAAGAGAGGATGGTGATTCTAACCACGGTAGTGAATGAGGGATTTTGTGAGTCCCCAAGTAAGAGATGATGGTGTCTGTAAAAATGTGGTGACCATGTGATTCTGCAGATATCTAATTAAGGAATAATGTGTTACTAGAAATGGTAGTACCTAGGTGTTTTAAAGTTACCCAGGAAAGAAATAATTTGTCCCTAGCAATGCCATTTATTCTGCATAATTTTAGGTCACCACGTATAGTAGGTTTATCTAAATCTGGTAGATCTCACGGGTTTCTGTAGGTATCCACATGAGAGATGATGATTCACGAATGGTAAACAATTGCCACTATTGTTACCAAGGTATTTTGTAAGTAGCCAGCTAAGAGCTCTGGCTTTATATATTTGTTGGATATAAGACTATTTTGTTTTGTATTTTTATAATATCTGATTTTTCTTTTTTTGAGATAGAATCTGGCTGAGGTAAATGCTGATGTGGACATAAACCACAGCCCATACTGTGGGACTGTCAGAGAGACCCATTTCAGTGATGACGTGTCCCTACACACCTTCCCACTGTGACTTCTTTCACAGGTACTCGAGTGAGAAATGATTGAGTCCTCACCATTCCTAGATTGGCCCGGATTTCTCATTTTCTCTTTCAGCGAAAGTGTATGCTGGACCCTGTGAGTGTTGAGGGACTGCAGGGAGCCAGGTATTTATCACCATATTCCCCACCCCCATGCTATCCCTAGGATGTCTATAGGTGTTGAGAAACAGTGTTTCTGTGCTATCAGGGTCAACCTGGGATGACTGCAAGTATCCAGGTCGAGTGGGTGTTGCCCGTAAAGGTGCAAATAAGGTTATTTGCAGGAGTGCTGGCGGCAAACCCTACGTCCCTATACACATATGTCTTCGTGCGTCTTTCAGATTCCTACCGTGACATCACAATTAATCTGACATGGAACCTTAATGGGAAGCTTGGCTGCTTTGCAGGTCAACACTGCTGAGGACTGAAAGCATCACATGGGCCACATGAGGTTCAGCTGTCTAGGTAAGTGATGCTGGTGCCAGGCCCCCTGTTCCCGTGATTTCACCTCAGGTGTCCTGATGGGGATTGATAAGGGTCCCTGGCATACTAGAAACCATGAATTTTTCCTCTGCATATTTCAGAAGCAATGCCTAACCCTGTGAGTGGGATGGGACTACAAATAGCAGGTAATGATCCGGGGTTCCCAGCCACAGCAGTGACTGTGTACATTATACAGGTGTCCTGTAGAAAGAAGTGCTGTCTTCTGGAACCATGGCCTTCAGCTGGACGGGCCTCTCCAGATCCTAGTAAGTGTCTTTAAATGATGGATGTGAGCATCGTGATTGATTTGCAGGTGTCCTGGTAGAAAGGTATATGTCATAATTTCTGTTTTTCAGATTCCCAGGAGGCAATCTTGACAGAAAAGGATCGCCAGGGGACATGTCTGCTATCTGCCTAAGTGACGGTGTACGCGGCAAACTCACCACAGACCAGATGATCTCCACTTATCTAGGTAAGTGAGGTTCCTTTGCCTGAATGGTTTACCATGTGATGGGTTAACAGCTGTTTTGGAAATAAGGGAAGTGGCTCTCTGTTCTCCCTGCCATGCGATCCTATTGATTTCTGTCCTAAAGAGAATGTATGATGTGTGCGCTCTGAGTGTGGATTCACTTGAATGTACCCAGGGAATTCAGGTGGCACTGTGCATCACCGGAGTAACTGCAGTGGATTTCCAGGGAAGCCAGCCAGGGAAAATGGCGTGCTCTACGATGGCCTAGACCGTGGAGGGCCCGTGAGCATCCAGGTACATTTTTGTCTCCCACCATGATGATAGCGTGCAGGCAGTTAACACTGGTATCAAAGCAGTGTCTGTAGACACATTGGTCGCATATTTGGTTTCAGGTTCAGGCAGACAGAAGTCAGAGCGGAAGGTGCCTTGAGGTCTCTGCAGGAGATTCACGGACCATAGGATTTGGTAGGGATTCAGATATGAGATGATCATGGCCCTCATCACGTTAGTGATCATGGTATTTTGAAACAACCCAAGAAACATGATGGCCATGCCCCTATGGTAGTGCCCATGGGATTTTGTAGCTATAGGGTGAAAAGGTGACAGTTGTCATATCCATGGTAATGTCTGTGGGATGTTGTAAATATCCAGGTAAGAAATGGGTGTTTCTACTTAGGTGGTAAACATGGGATACTGAAGTCATAAAGGTAAGGAGTGATGACAAACCTAATCATGCAGGTGACCATGGCATTTTCTAGCTATCCAGATAAGAGTGGATGGTAGCCCTAACTCAAGTATTAACATTGGGTTTCCTCAGGTACGCATGTAGGAGCTGATGATGTCCCTTCCCATGTTAGTGAACATGGCCTTTTGTGGTATTCCAGATATGATGGTGAACCTAACCCCAAGATGACCATGAGGTGTGTCAGGTGCCTAGTAAAGAGAAGCTGCTCCCTTTAACCGTGAAGGTTATGATGAAATTTTGTCAGTCAGGAATTAAGAGATGACGGTAAACCTACAACGGTAGTGAACAAGGGATTTTGCAAGTCACCAGGTAAGAGACGATGGTGTCTCTAAAAATGTGACCATGTGATTTTGCAGGTATGCAATGAAGGAATAATGTGTTACTGGAAATGGTAGTACCAAGGTATTTATTGTTACCCAGGAGAGAAATCATGTGTCCTTATGGCATTTTATTTGGGCAATTTGTGGGTCTCCAGGTCTGGTAGGTATTTCTATATCTGATCGATCTCATGGGCTTCTGTAGGTATCCACATGAGAGATGATGTATCACAAGTTGTAACCAAGTGCCAAGGTATTTCACAGGTATCTCACTTAGAGCCCTGGTGAATATGAGTTTTTGAAGATATCCAGCAGGGAATGATGTTGGCCTAAACCATGATAATGCCGACAAGTTGTGCCCATATCTTGGTAAGAGGTGGTGTGTGTGTAATTATAGTCGTCACCATGGCTTTTTTGCAGATTCCAACAAATAATGAAGATAAGCTTAACCACTATTATGAATATAAGATCTGGAAGGAATTAAGGAAAGAAATAATGTGGGCTTTAACCAAGTGGACATGATTAGATTTTGGAGATTTCTAAATAAGTGATTATGGTGTCCCTAACTATGGAATTTTGCAGGTTGTAGTCAATAGGTGATGAGGAATTTAATAGTAGGTGCAAACATGGGATTTACTGATAACCAGGTAAGGCATGATGTGGTCCTTAAACATATTACAGACCATATGATTTTATGGATATCTACATAAGCAATAATATGTCGTGAAATCTTGATATAGCCACTTTGTTTTCACATTTAAAAAGTTGCTCAATCTCAAATACTTGGCACAGAGCTGATTTTCAAGTTGAGGAATGCACCAGCGGCCAGGTGTGGTGGCTCATGCCTTAATCCCTAACTTTGGGAGGCCAAGACGGGCAAATCAGTTGAGTTGAGTTCAAGACCGGCCTGACCAACACAGTGAAAACCCGTCTCTACTAAAAATACAAAATGAAGCCGAGCGTCCTGGCACGCGCCTGTAGTACCAAGGTATTTATCAGTTACCCAGATACTTGGGAGGCTGAGAGGTGCAAGAATCACTTCAACCCAGAAGGTGGATATTGCAGTGAGTTGAGGTTGGGCCACTGCACTCCAGACTGGGTGACAGAGCGAGACTTTGCCTCAAAAAAAACAACAACAAAAAAAGTAATGCACCAGAGTCATGAAATAATGATCTTATCACAGAGGGCTTAGAAAGCAAAACCTCAGAAAATATTACCATTTCTCAAAATACTTGCGGCAAATAATTAAGAACCAGATAACAGAAATTGTGATCAGAGGAAATACCATCAGAATATACTTAAGTGCACAATACATAGTTGGAGGGTGAACTGTTTACCCTTCTAAAACCATCACTATGATCAACACAGACAACAGATACTTTCCTCAAAGATTAAATTGGTTCATGAGAAATAAAAGCAACCAAAATGAGCCACATTATCTGCAGTAGAAGAGACTATATAGAAAAAGTTCTATGGCAAGAGCTAATTAGTTGGTCTACAAACAGATAAATGCCCCAATTTTAGACACGTTAGATATTGCATACTCAAAAAAAAAAAAAAGAAGAAGGAACATTTTGAAAGCTGTTGTAAATTTAATTAATTGCTGGGTGTCTCTTTGGCTAGTAGTTGAACGATCATTATTTAGTCCTACAGTGCTGTCCCTTTTGTTTGCAAACCACCTAAAAGTCTTATTTCCTCATCTCTTTGACAGATTACCAAGATGGATCCTACAATATAATCACACAGGATAATGTTGGAAAGTATGACTATCTAAATCATTTCTAAAGGTCTTACTTATCTTCATTGATTTTCAAACTATTTCTAACAGCATCTAAAACTATGTCGATAGCGACCTGGAGTATGTCTTCATTGCTGTCATCACTGAGATCACTGTCAGTTCCTCTCAGACTTGTTGTTGGCATTTCGGATGGACATGAACTGTGACCTGGTGGATCTGACTTTTGTTTCCTCTGCTGTTGTTCTTGCTCATCCTTTTCAAAATAGTCTTTTGTTTTCTTCAGTTCTTCCAAAGCAGGAGTTACACACGATGTCTGCGGAAGATCTTGCGATGTGTTTCTGGAAGTACCTTGCATGCTTAATTCAATAGCTCTGTGAAGATCTTCATCTCCTCTCTTGGTTACTTGATGACTCAGTGCTAGGGCCCTCTGAAAATCCTCCTCATCTTCGTCTGATACGTCAGATTCATCAGTTTCTTCTGACACTTTTTCAAGGACTGTTTTATGGTCTCTTTGTTGTTTTTCTAGTGGTAGTTTTCTTTCAGTAAGTTTTGGTCGATCTCTTTGTTTGACCCTGATGGTCTGCAGGAGTTGGTCAGCTTCACAGTCTGGCAGATCACCCTTAACAACAAATACAGAATAGCCTTCTTTTTGCAGTTTACTGAGAAATAGTGCCAGATATGTATCTGATATTAATTCTGGACCCTCCAAGAGAGAATCCAAGTTAAACCAGAGTTTTCCAAATTTTCTAATAGTAAACCAGTGTTGTTCATAATTACATATAAAAGATCTTTCATTTATAGGATTAATCCCAAGCTTTTGATAGGCAGGGCTATTTAAAAGGATCACGTCTAAACCCCAGAACTTCAAAGCATTGGTTATAACCTGAATAGAAAAGAAACCTGTGTCATCCATGTTTCCTGAAGGCTGCTGTAAAAATGCGCGATAGTCTTCACTGGTGACTCCTCCTTCTGCCATTCTCATCCTCTCTTCTTCATCAAGCTGATGTGCAATTGAGGCTAATTCCACAGGGCTAAAATATTCTCCTTGAAGTAGATTATTTAGGCAGTGCTGGGCACAGAGGGATCCTTCTTGTTTCTCGTGGAAGATGAACTCCATGTTGACTGGAACCAGGTGTTTTTGTAGGTTTGCGGGGAGATGTTGTATGCCCAGCTTTCGTACCTATCTGGACAGTATGGAGATATCCATGTAATAGGTGCACAGTTTTCAAAGCTTATGAAAACCATGGGATTCTGTAGGTATTCAGGTCAGAGATGATGTCACAAAGCACTATGGTGACCAAGGTGGCTTTGCCAGTATCCAGTCAAGAGCTGATGGGAAACCTAAAGTAAATATGGGATTTTGGGGTTATCCTGTAGGTGATAATGATGACTTGAACCATAGTAGTGCCCCTGGGATTTTCAGATGTCCTATAAAAGGAAATACCTCTCTAATGGTAGTTGTCAGCATGGTTTTAGTAAATAAAGATGAAATTTACCACAGCACTAAACATAAGATTTGGTCGGTAACTGGGAAAGAAATAACATGGGCTTTAACTGAATGGACACCATGGGGTTTTGCAATTGTCTAGGTCAGTTATCGTGATGTCACCACAGTAATAGCCATGGAATTTTGCTGGTTTCAGTAAGATGACAATAAAACTCACAGTGGCAAGGAAGATGGGACTCCGCCGGTATCCTGAGATGATGTGGGCCTTAAAAACATTAGTGACCAAATGATCTCCAAACATCTAGAAAACCGATGATGATGTCTTGAACTCTTTTCGTAGCCATGTGTTTTTACAGGTGTTCAGGTAAGAAACGTGTGTGCCTAACACAAGCAGGAACCATTAGATTTTATTGTTTCCTAGTTCTGAGAAAATTTGTCTCAAAACTTAGTAGGGACAAAGATATTAGCAGGTATCCAGGTAGGATGTCACAGAGTTCCTCACCACAGTAGGAAATGTGGGATTTTTGCAGGCGTCCAGTGAATAGACAGTGTGTAGAACTACTGTGTTGACCTTGGACTTCTCTAAGTGTCCGTGTACAGTTAGTGGTTACCCTAATGATTGTAGTGAGTGTATGGATGGAATTAGCAGGGGTCCAGATGGAAGGACATGTATGCTGACCACAGTTGCCACCATGTGTTTCTTCAGCTGGTAGTCAAGAGATGATGGAGTCTCTAACTACGACATAGGCCTTAAAACCTTAGGATTCAGGTAGAGTTCATGGTTCCCCTAACAGTACTAGTCACCATGGGATTTTTTGAGGTCCATGTAGATGATGTATCCCTAACCACTATTGCTGCCATATGGTTTTGTAGGCTCCCGTCAAGAGATAATGGTGAAACTCATATTGGTTGTTTTTGTAGGAATTTCATGGAATCCATGTAAGTGATTATGTGGACCTTAAACATAGTAGAGACCATCTGATCTTCAAAAATCTAGGTAAGTGATAATGATGTCCTCAACATCTGTTGGTATCACATGTTTTGCAGGTATTCAGGTAAGAAAATGATACTGGGTCTACCAGTAAGTATTGGTAGCCATGACATCTAGCTTAACCACTTTTCTCATTTAGTGATAATGTGTGTTTAACCTTAGGAGTGAATGAGGGCTTTTCAGGTATCTAGGCAAGTGATCATAACTTTCTTCACCACCGTAATGACCATGAGATGTTTATAGGTGCCCACACAATAGATGATGGTGCCTGTAACAATGTGTTGACCTTCAGGTTCTGCCAATATGCAGGTAGCATTAATGGGTTTGTAAAGATGGAAGTGACACAAGTTATCTGCAGATGTTCTGCTAGAAAAATTTGCATTCTTAAACACATCTGTCACAATGTGCTTTTTCAGGTTTCTGTCTAAAGGTCAAGGTAACCCTAACAATGGGGATTAACATGGAGCTTTGTTGGTATCCAGGCAAGTGATGATGTGGGGCTTACCACACAATAGACCTTCTGACCTTCAGAAATTTACATAAGTGATGTTGGTACCTCTGTCTAACATTTGTGTTACCATGTTTTTTGTTGCAGATATTCAGGTAAGAAGTGATAGTGTTCCCATAATTCCTATTTAAGAATGTACCATTACTGCTTACTAGTTCAGAGATAATGTTTTGAAACCTGGTTAAGACTGAGGAATTTGTAAGTTTCCAAGTAAATTTTCATAGTGTTTCTCATCTCAGTATTGACGACGGTATATTTACAGGTACTCAATCAAGAGATTATGACATGTCCATGGTTTTGACCTTGATATTTTCTAAGAATCAGGGTAAAGTTGATGGTTCTCCTAATGCTAGTAGTTCTCAGAGCTGTTGCATGGTTTAGGTAGAAAAAGATGTATCTCTAACCATGGCTGCCTTCATGGGTTTTTTAGGTTCTACTCAGTGGATGATAGTGAAACTAGCAGTGATAGTGAAAGTGGACTTAGCTAGAAGACAGGAAAGAGATGGTGTGAGCCTTTACACATTAGAGAGCTTCAGATTTCAGTTACCTAGGTAAGAGTTGATGGGGCCTATAATACTGTGGTTACAGGACTGTTGTTTTTTTAAACAGGTATTCAGGTAAGGACTGTGCTGATGTAAAGGTGAGAAATGAGGGCATTTACACATTAGAGAGCTGAGTTTCAGGTATCTAGGAAATTGATGATGGTGATCATAACTGTCATAGTCACCTGATTTGGTACAGGTTTGCAGGGAAGAGTAGGCATGAGATTGTTTGTATTCTTGTTTAGTGATAATTTGTACTTAACCCTAGTAGCAAGTGAGAAATCTGCAGGTATCCAGGTAAGTTACCACATTGTCTATCACCACACTAGTGAACGTGGGATTTTTGCAGATACCTCTTCAAAAGAGAGAGGTATCTTTATTAGAGAGGTGTCTCATACCTCTGGAGCTATCCAGGTATCGTTGACGAGTCACAAAAAGAAGTGATCGAGGGTATTTGCAGTTGTCCAGGTATTATAAGAGGTGTACTAAACACGTTTTTCACAATATGCTTTTCAGGTTCCTTTCAAGAGATCCTAGTGACCTTAACAATGGCCATTAATGATGGACATTGTGAGTATCTGGTAAGTGATGAGGTGTGCTTAATCCACAGCTAAAAACATTTGACCTTCATGTAAGAAAGTAATTGATGACAGTGCCCCTAACAGTTGTTAACATGTTTGCTTGCTTATTTGTTTTGAAGATATTGAGGTAAGAAACCATAGTCCTTACCAGTGTTAGGAACTCCATGAGTTCTTAGCTTTACATATTTTAGAAAATTTATCTTTAACCCTGTGGATGTTGAGTCATTGCCATATCCAGATAATTTTCATGGTGTTCCTCACCACAGTATTAAACATGGGATTTTTGCAGATATCCAGTCAAGAAACAATGGTTTTGTCTGGCAGTGTTGTTGACCTTGAGTACTGCAAATGTCCAGATAGAGTGTATATGTGCCATAATGATGGAAGTCACAAAAGTGATTTTCAGGCATCATGGTAAAAAAAAAGTGTGTTTTAACACATATTTCAAAATATGTTTTTCAAATTCCTGTTAAAAGATTGTGGTGAACCTAACAATGGTTACTAACATGGTAATTATTGATGTGGGTCTTTCACACTACAGAATGTCTAATCTTCACATGTCTAGGTCAGTGATGGTGGTGTCCCTAGTACTCGTATTAGCATATTTTTATTTTCAGCTATTAGGAAAGGTCTTTAATAGTATAGAGGTAAGAATTAATATGACTTTTATACAGCAGAGACCTTTCTATTTTCAGATACCTAGGTAATTAATGATGGTGTTGAGAATTCTGATACTAATCTTGGTTTTTGGCTGGTTTGCGTAGAGTAAATTAATTTTGTGTAACAGTACAAATAAGCATGAGATTTTACTGTATTCTTATTTAGAGGTAATATGTATTAAATAATCATGGTGATAGATGGACATGTAGGTAACCAGCTAATTTATCATATTGTTTACCACATAATGCCCATGGGATTTCTGCAGGTATCCATTTAAGAGAGGAAAGCGTCTCTTCCTAGATATTGACATTGGAGTTCTGGAAGTGTTCAGACAATGTTGATGGATCCCAAAATGACAGAAATGGTGAGGGGAATCTGCAGGTGCGCAGGTATGATCAGATATATATCAAATATACCATCATTCATAATGTGCTTTTCAGGATTCTATCAAGAGGTTATGGTGAGCCTAACAATGGTAGTTGTTATGGGACATTGCTGAAATATAGGTAACTGATGTGGAGGCTTATACCACAGCAAAACTACTTGATTTTCCTCTATCTAGGTAAGTAGTAAATGATGTCCGAAATACTCATTACTGTGTTTGTTCCTTTTTTCTTTATGTATTCAGTGATGAAATAGTTCTTACTAGTAATAGAAACCATGAGTTATTTCTTTTCCCATTTTTTTCTGGAGGCAGGACGGAGTCTCACCCTGTCACCCAGCCTGGAGTGCAATGGCGCGATCTCGGCTCACTGCAACCTCCGCCTTTCGGGTTCAAACGATTCTCCTGCCTCAGCCTCCTGAGTAGCTGGGATTACAGGTGCCAGCTAGCACGCCCAGCTAATTTTTGTATTTTTAGTAGAGATGGCGTTTCACCATGTTGGCCAAGCTGGTCACAAACTCCTGACCTCGTAATCCACCCGCCTCAGCCTCCCAAAGTGCTGGGATTATAAGGGTGAGCCACTGCGCCCAGCCCTTTTTACATTTTAGGGAAAGTTTGTTTGACTTTGTGAATATTGAGGGATTTTCACATCTAGTAATTATTGTGTTTCCCACTGCAGTCATAATCATGGGATCTTTGCAGTTATTTAGTCAAGAAATTATGGTCTCATCTGACATAGTGTTTGCCTTGGTGTATTACAAATATTCAAGCAGAGTTGATATGTCCAGTAATATTGCAAGTAACTAAGGTTATTTGGCAGCATCCTCATAGAAAAAGAATGTGCCCTTTAACATGTATTCTCTAACTTGTTTTTCAGGTTCCTGTCAAGAGAGCACGTGATTAACATGGGACTTTGCTGGTATCCAGGTAGCTGATGTGGGCCATGGTGATGTCGCATGGCCTCTACTTATTGTTGTCCATTTTCTGTTATTTGAAAGTATTCAGG